CACCGATCGGGTGCATCTATTGGAATGGTGGCCAAATCTTGACTAATCTATGTTGGGATCCCAAATCGATCCATTTCTCTATCTGTTTCGTTCCCTACCTCTAGGTTTGACGACACCTAAAGTCTCCACATCAGCCCAGTGTGTCGCGCCTCTGGTTGCTGCACCGATTCAAGCAGTGATGCTAGGGTTTCCACCTACGGCCGCCGCCACCATGTGTGTAGTGGCCGGATTGACCACTGATATGTGGTGTGAGGCAAGTGGTTTGGGGTTTGTCGAACAATGCCTTATTGTCGTTGCTGGTGTCGACAAGAATGAGTGGTTGTTAGGTGGTGGTTGGTTGTGTGGTGGTTGGACGGTTTTGGATATCAAGGGAGGGGTTTCTACCAAGGACTGAAGAAAAGACAAATATATGTGACTCATCTAACCTATTAAGCTTTTAACTTAGTTGATTAACACATAAGAGAAATCTTTTTTAGAGAAATGTCACATTTAATTTGCTGTAGTTATGAGCCACTGCAAAGTTTTCAACAATGGAAAAATATGTAACTACTTAAATCAACTATGTAAAGAATAATTCTTAAAACGTATTAAAAAGGTTAAATAAAGCAAAGTATTATATCTAGATGATATAGACTAAGAGGTCATAAGTATAATGTTGAACCACCTTATCTAGCTTAAGTTGTTAGAAAGGAGAAGATCAAAATTAACATCGCTTGTGATGGTTTATAAGGATCTAGTTACTTTGGGTTTCAAGTAAATTTAACAATTAACTATGCAGATCACCAAGAAGGATTCGTGTCCCCAATTTATATTGGTTATAATGCTTAGTTTGATATCGTCATTGGATTCATTTTTCCTCATCAATGGCTTATCATGTGTTTCTAAATTGTGGCAATCATACTTGAAACAGGACCATGTTAAACAAAAGACATAGCATCCAGATATTTATCTTAAACAATTCAAATGTTAAAATAGAGGTAGAGGTACATAAGGTAACGCAAGAAACAAGAGAACATGAAGTCAAAAGGGAAACAACTAATTTAAAAAAAGAACATGAAGTCAAAAGGGAAACAACCAATTTAAAAAAAAAAGGTAGCAAAATATAATGCTTAGGTTGAAGAGGAAGTGTCAAAAACTTACATACATTGGAGGAGGGCCTTCACCCTCTGGTTCTAGTTTCCGCCATTCATATGGTTTGGCAGCTGTGTCTAGTGCCCATACATCAGCTAAAGTTTTTTTCCTAGAGAGCATTCAACAATTATTTATGTCCAAAATTACACAAATATCACAGCACGAAACTAACCATCATTTCCACCAATTGTCATGAGATATCGCTGTCCCACCAAAGCCATGACATGCCCATAGCGTGGCCCTGGTCCAGGGCCTTGTACCGCAACCCTAGATTTATACTAGATTTTAGTGTAGTGACTTAGCATGCATAGAAGATAAAATTTGCATGTATCTATTCATATAATTGTATATATGCTACTTTTTTTCCTTCCAGATATACATATTCGATACAATATTTGTAAAGAGGCTAACCTATGCCAGCGTGGTCGTTGTTGTGAGAGGTCCAGCACATGAATATCTTCTACAGAAAGACCAGCTGGGCCAATTCCACCCTGTGATGATAGTTATACTAAGCAACATAAATATCAAATGAAAGAAGAATTATTACATAGTAATGTTTCAATTTAAATATATGTATCAACAAACCTGAACAACAACCATAGTACCGACAGCAGTTGCCACATGTGCTGCCCTTGGTGATGGTGGTTCTCCAATTGGGGTAATTCTGCAGAGTAATTTAAAGCACATAACCAAATTACAACAATTTTAAACTAATAAAAGCAAAGAGTAGACCAGAAAATTGAGTAGAGAATCTAAACAGAAGTGATCAACTTAAGCGTACCGAGACCATTTATTCGTCAAGACATCATAAGAATGGGCATCAGCAGTGGCCCCAGCCAACCCTACAACAGATACACAGTAAATATCGTGCAGCTATTTAACGTGTTACTCCATCAAAACAAATTAGATCATATTTCCTCTACAAGAGTCTCTTTCAAATCTCCAAGGGATAGCAAACTAATGTTTGCTTTATCATTTTTGATGTTGACAAATTTGTAAAGACATGCGATAAAGCAAACTTTCAAAATAGTAACTAGACTAGTTAAGCTCAAAGGAAGAAGTGTTGACCGCTAAAAGACTAGATGTTCATAACACAAACGCAATAGAAACATCGTATTAGATGGATGTGTCCAAAGTATAATGAATAAAATAATAAATGAGAATGTGCACATCGGTTGAGGATCTTGAGACTTAGAAAATCTCATTCTTAAGAGAGGTGTGATCTCGACAAAGAGGTTAGAAGAGAAGGGGAAACAAAAGACAACATAGCCTAATATAATTGCAAACTATTTAACTGTATTGGACCTTTAAGTAGTAGTACTGTGAATTGAATGAAATATCAATAAGTATTTATGTATGCAACCCAAATTTATTGTGAATAGAACTTTGAAGCTTCTCACAAATTTGAATAGGAAATCTATGTTTTATCTCTGACTTCAATAACAATGGAAAATAAGTTAATGACATTATTTAGTACGGCTGAATACATAATATCTCTTCGAAATATAGAACTCCAACAAGCATATAGAAAGTGAAATCAGAATTATCAAACTTCTATGCAGCTAAGATACTCAGACTATAGTGGCAAATATACTGGCTATCTCCATCTCTACCGTTTCTTCATATATATAACCACAATATACCTCATTTGAACTCCAACTCAACCTCATATTATTATACTAACACCCCCAACCCAAAAAACTGCAAGCAGCGGTAAGGCCAAGTATTTGAGCAAATTTTTGGTATTTCAGTTTCTTGAATATAAACCAGAAGGTAAGCAGAAATGCAGCTCCAATCAACTAAGTGAAGCAATGTTTACACAACTATAATTAGCTGTATTTAAATTTATGAAGAAAACATACGAATTCCGGCACTTCCAGCCGAGGAAAGAGTTCCAGAGGCAGCAGAATTTCCTTCAAGTGCTGTGGCACCACCGAACAGAATTAATCTCGGGCCAATATATTCAGGAGTTCCCTCCTCCCCAACAGTCGATACAGCTGTAAGTGTGTAGCCACACCTGGGGCTCGGTCCATCCCCATTCTTCTCAGTTATCACATTTACCACCGTATAGGTCGGTGCACAGCGTGGCCCAGCCACCACCTGTTCACTACCATCAATACCACCACTATTACTATAATTAATAATATCATTATCATTATTCTGTTGTTGCTGTTGCTGAGGAACGGGAGATTGCGATTCAGTGGGCTGGTCCGAACCGTTGGCAGATGTGGGCTGGTCTGATGGATCACGATCAACTTCGGTGGTCATAGTCGAATCCACGTCCATTTTTTACCAAAAAACCCAAATTTTCGAAGTTCTAGAATATGACCAGAGCTTAAATTCTCAACAATTCGCATTTTCAATCGTCATTTAGCAAAAGCTCTAGCTCCTGATCGTTCAAATTCGCAACATCATTACTCCAAAAGAAAGGATTTTTTTTTTCCAAACTTTTCTTCTTTCTCTCGTAGTGCGAAGAATACAACCGGTGCAGCCAATCCAGACAAGGTTCTTCTCTCTCTAACCCAAAATTTCTCTTTCTATATATGCGTGCATGTATCTGAAAAAAATGAGAAAATGGATTTTTTTTGTCCGAACTTTTCTTCTTTCTCTCGTCGTGCGAAGAAAACAACCGGTACAGCCAATCCAGACAAAGTTCTCTCTCAAACCCAAATTTTTCTCTTTCTATATATGCGTGGATGTATCTGGAAAAAAAATGAGAAAAAAGGAAGAAAAAACGAAATTGTTCTTTATCCAGGATTTTCAATTGAGTCAATTTAGGGAAAATATTTCTGATTTATCCTCCATCAAAATGCTCGAGTCCTCAGATTTTCAACCAATTGAAAGAGATAGACTCGTAATTCTTATTGCTAAGGATCTGTTTTATTATTATTATTATTATTTATTATTATTATTATTTTTTTAGAAAAATTCATATCTCAGGCGTATTCTTTACACCATTTCAAAAATCAGGTAAGAAATTTAAAAAATTAAAATTCAGACTTGTATTTAATTAATTAAAAATATTTATTAAATAAATATATTGTCATAGTTAAACAATTAATGGTTACAAATTTATTTATTGGTCACTTATCATCAAATTAATTGGTCACAAATTTATTCACTGGCCACATATAAAATTTTTTATAGGTTACAAATTATTTCGAGGTCACAGATTAAAAATTTTAGAGGTCACAGATTATCAAATTTCAAGGTCACAGATTAATTTTTTAGTCACATATCGTCAAATTTTAATATCACATGCCAAATCGTTGATCACATATACCAAATACTCCACTGTCAAACTCAATCCATCATCGATGCTTGGTTATAGAGCAACCAAATGGTCACCACCACCACCAATAATGTCGCCATCACTAGATCCAACACATTGCCAACAAAAATTACCCGTAAAATTCACCTGCCTTTCTCAAAATAATTATTTACAGATTCAAACAGTAAACTTAATTAAAACAAAATTCAAAATACGTATTTACACTTACCAATTTCCAGTGCCGACTGTGAGTATTGTTTCTTTCTTGAACCTTTGATAATTTTGGGAGATTTCAATATTTTAGCAGATGGAAGGAAAAAATTCTTTTTTACTGTATTGGAGAAACTGATAAACCAAAACTGATTTTGAAATTTACGTATGGAAGTAACAGAATTTATTTAAACTATTAAGGATATTATTGTCTTTTAAACATTTGATATACTTTTGTAATTATTAGATATGAATAAGGGTAGAATTGTCTTTTTAATGGCAATAGGCCAATGTGGTGAATACAAGAAAAAAATGATCAAAATGAAAATTTGATTGTTTGACCAAGCTATTTTAAAAAGTGCCCCCTGATATTGGCTAGTGTATTTTCTATTGTTCATTGTCTTCATTAAAGGAAATTCTAGTGATGAAAAGAAAATTGTAAATTGAAAAGAACCCGAGGAGTACAAGAAATTCATTCCCACCCAGAAAGAAAGAGATAACTTGCGTATATTAACGATTCTGTGTGCCTCACTCTGTATATTCTCCCTCTCCCTTTAACAACATCACTCCTCGACGCAAAGAACTTAAATTAAAATTCCCCACCCTGAAAAAAGTAATCTTGATTACAGTTGAATGGTGCAAACATATGAACTGAATATTGAATTGTAGAGAGAAATATTGATGGGATGGGTGCTCAGAAAAGCATTCTTGCGGGCAACGGTAAGCAGCACTTTTTTCTCCTTTATGGGCCATTCCAATCCTTCGGTTATGAATTACGATTTGTTTTCAAGATTTTTTTCGTAAGCTCATTTGTGTGTGTGGTGCTTATGATGATTGAGAATAGAAAGTGAGGACTGATATTGTTTTAAACTGTCTATTGGGTGTGAAATTGTGCTTGTGTGCAGCCAAGATAGACTTCAATGTTGATTTCACCCACAAATTATGTGCTGCTTTTATGTTCAACCCTTTCAGGTTTCTTCTTCACATTCTCTAACTTTGTGTACAAATGCAAGCGTTTAATTACTTATCCCAATTTTTCTCATATATTTTTCTAAAACAGGAACAGTGGAAGTCCATTATCACTAGTTGTTGGAAGGTGAGCTACTTATTGTTAATTTTTTTTGCTAATTCGAGGTGGGCTAAAATGTGTTGGAAGTGAGTTTTGGGGGGTAATGGTTGATTGCATAATTTTTTCACATCTTGGCAGTCTTTGTATAAAGCACCCAAATTTATTTGGTAAGAATGAGAAGCTTGATGTGCTGTGGGATAAAGGGCTTTGTGATTCCAATGTCTTGATTACTTGCCGAAAGACAAGACCAGAATGGCTATCACAACAAACTTTTGTTATTCAGGTTTGCTCTATAATTAGTGGTTGTTAATGAGGTTTCTGAATGCCCTTTTGATATTTGCTAAAATCATGCTTTGTGAACTTATGTACATCATTTCACCAAACTGATTAGTATTTAAAATGAAGGTAAGATTTTCTGAATGTTCATATCAAGAGTAGCTCTGCTGTTATCGTTCAATGATTTTTTTTTTCTGCAGAGTAATTTAAAGCACATAACCAAATTACAACAATTTTAAACTAATAAAAGCAAAGAGTAGACCAGAAAATTGAGTAGAGAATCTAAACAGAAGTGATCAACTTAAGCGTACCGAGACCATTTATTCGTCAAGACATCATAAGAATGGGCATCAGCAGTGGCCCCAGCCAACCCTACAACAGATACACAGTAAATATCGTGCAGCTATTTAACGTGTTACTCCATCAAAACAAATTAGATCATATTTCCTCTACAAGAGTCTCTTTCAAATCTCCAAGTGATAGCAAACTAATGTTTGCTTTATCATTTTTGATGTTGACAAATTTGTAAAGACATGCGATAAAGCAAACTTTCAAAATAGTAACTAGACTAGTTAAGCTCAAAGGAAGAAGTGTTGACCGCTAAAAGACTAGATGTTCATAACACAAACGCAATAGAAACATCGTATTAGATGGATGTGTCCAAAGTATAATGAATAAAATAATAAATGAGAATGTGCACATCGGTTGAGGATCTTGAGACTTAGAAAATCTCATTCTTAAGAGAGGTGTGATCTCGACAAAGAGGTTAGAAGAGAAGGGGAAACAAAAGACAACATAGCCTAATATAATTGCAAACTATTTAACTGTATTGGACCTTTAAGTAGTAGTACTGTGAATTGAATGAAATATCAATAAGTATTTATGTATGCAACCCAAATTTATTGTGAATAGAACTTTGAAGCTTCTCACAAATTTGAATAGGAAATCTATGTTTTATCTCTGACTTCAATAACAATGGAAAATAAGTTAATGACATTATTTAGTACGGCTGAATACATAATATCTCTTCGAAATATAGAACTCCAACAAGCATATAGAAAGTGAAATCAGAATTATCAAACTTCTATGCAGCTAAGATACTCAGACTATAGTGGCAAATATACTGGCTATCTCCATCTCTACCGTTTCTTCATATATATAACCACAATATACCTCATTTGAACTCCAACTCAACCTCATATTATTATACTAACACCCCCAACCCAAAAAACTGCAAGCAGCGGTAAGGCCAAGTATTTGAGCAAATTTTTGGTATTTCAGTTTCTTGAATATAAACCAGAAGGTAAGCAGAAATGCAGCTCCAATCAACTAAGTGAAGCAATGTTTACACAACTATAATTAGCTGTATTTAAATTTATGAAGAAAACATACGAATTCCGGCACTTCCAGCCGAGGAAAGAGTTCCAGAGGCAGCAGAATTTCCTTCAAGTGCTGTGGCACCACCGAACAGAATTAATCTCGGGCCAATATATTCAGGAGTTCCCTCCTCCCCAACAGTCGATACAGCTGTAAGTGTGTAGCCACACCTGGGGCTCGGTCCATCCCCATTCTTCTCAGTTATCACATTTACCACCGTATAGGTCGGTGCACAGCGTGGCCCAGCCACCACCTGTTCACTACCATCAATACCACCACTATTACTATAATTAATAATATCATTATCATTATTCTGTTGTTGCTGTTGCTGAGGAACGGGAGATTGCGATTCAGTGGGCTGGTCCGAACCGTTGGCAGATGTGGGCTGGTCTGATGGATCACGATCAACTTCGGTGGTCATAGTCGAATCCACGTCCATTTTTTACCAAAAAACCCAAATTTTCGAAGTTCTAGAATATGACCAGAGCTTAAATTCTCAACAATTCGCATTTTCAATCGTCATTTAGCAAAAGCTCTAGCTCCTGATCGTTCAAATTCGCAACATCATTACTCCAAAAGAAAGGATTTTTTTTTTCCAAACTTTTCTTCTTTCTCTCGTAGTGCGAAGAATACAACCGGTGCAGCCAATCCAGACAAGGTTCTTCTCTCTCTAACCCAAAATTTCTCTTTCTATATATGCGTGCATGTATCTGAAAAAAATGAGAAAATGGATTTTTTTTGTCCGAACTTTTCTTCTTTCTCTCGTCGTGCGAAGAAAACAACCGGTACAGCCAATCCAGACAAAGTTCTCTCTCAAACCCAAATTTTTCTCTTTCTATATATGCGTGGATGTATCTGGAAAAAAAATGAGAAAAAAGGAAGAAAAAACGAAATTGTTCTTTATCCAGGATTTTCAATTGAGTCAATTTAGGGAAAATATTTCTGATTTATCCTCCATCAAAATGCTCGAGTCCTCAGATTTTCAACCAATTGAAAGAGATAGACTCGTAATTCTTATTGCTAAGGATCTGTTTTATTATTATTATTATTATTTATTATTATTATTATTTTTTTAGAAAAATTCATATCTCAGGCGTATTCTTTACACCATTTCAAAAATCAGGTAAGAAATTTAAAAAATTAAAATTCAGACTTGTATTTAATTAATTAAAAATATTTATTAAATAAATATATTGTCATAGTTAAACAATTAATGGTTACAAATTTATTTATTGGTCACTTATCATCAAATTAATTGGTCACAAATTTATTCACTGGCCACATATAAAATTTTTTATAGGTTACAAATTATTTCGAGGTCACAGATTAAAAATTTTAGAGGTCACAGATTATCAAATTTCAAGGTCACAGATTAATTTTTTAGTCACATATCGTCAAATTTTAATATCACATGCCAAATCGTTGATCACATATACCAAATACTCCACTGTCAAACTCAATCCATCATCGATGCTTGGTTATAGAGCAACCAAATGGTCACCACCACCACCAATAATGTCGCCATCACTAGATCCAACACATTGCCAACAAAAATTACCACAACTACCACTACCATCGCCGCCACCACTGTAATCACTGCCGACACCATTTTGCAACACCACCATCACCACATAACACCACAAACAGATCATACCAATCGTCACAACTACTGCCTGTCTTTGACCTAGATTCACCGCACTACCATCGCACCGTCATCGAATACACCACACACAATTGCAACCCGCCTCCACCTTACACCACCCCCAAAATTCGGAGCCACAGATCGAAGTTCGAACAGTACGGCACAGCCAAATCCTGCAACGCTGCTCATCAAATAGCACAGGCAGAATCGCGCTATGTACCAGATCCCGCAGAGTGTTTCTCTCGATTGCAATAGAGAGGAGGAGAGAAGGTGGAACACACCGGCTTCATCGATGGTGCTCGAATCTTCAAGTTGGGCCAAGAGGTGGAGCATTGGGGATTACTGGGCCTTGATATGGCCTCTAACGTCTGGGCCCAATCTGTATTGGGTCAAGTGGTTCACGGTTCGACTTAATATTTTAGTTGAAAAAACACAAATGGCACTGATATTGGAGGAATTAGTGGCTGTTGGCCGGTTGACCCGGCCAATTTTTCAAACTGGCCTTTGACCAACGAAAAAAAAAAGGCAAAATTATAAAAAAACCGTGAAAACCAAAAAAAAAAAGAAGAGATTCCCAATTTTACCCTCACTTGAAAACGAAGCAAAGCCGAAGGAGACGGGAAAATACTGTAGCACAGTCGACCCAGACACCGACAAATCTGAATATTGAATTGTAGAGAGAAATATTGATGGGATGGGTGCTCAGAAAAGCATTCTTGCGGGCAACGGTAAGCAGCACTTTTTTCTCCTTTATGGGCCATTCCAATCCTTCGGTTATGAATTACGATTTGTTTTCAAGATTTTTTTCGTAAGCTCATTTGTGTGTGTGGTGCTTATGATGATTGAGAATAGAAAGTGAGGACTGATATTGTTTTAAACTGTCTATTGGGTGTGAAATTGTGCTTGTGTGCAGCCAAGATAGACTTCAATGTTGATTTCACCCACAAATTATGTGCTGCTTTTATGTTCAACCCTTTCAGGTTTCTTCTTCACATTCTCTAACTTTGTGTACAAATGCAAGCGTTTAATTACTTATCCCAATTTTTCTCATATATTTTTCTAAAACAGGAACAGTGGAAGTCCATTATCACTAGTTGTTGGAAGGTGAGCTACTTATTGTTAATTTTTTTTGCTAATTCGAGGTGGGCTAAAATGTGTTGGAAGTGAGTTTTGGGGGGTAATGGTTGATTGCATAATTTTTTCACATCTTGGCAGTCTTTGTATAAAGCACCCAAATTTATTTGGTAAGAATGAGAAGCTTGATGTGCTGTGGGATAAAGGGCTTTGTGATTCCAATGTCTTGATTACTTGCCGAAAGACAAGACCAGAATGGCTATCACAACAAACTTTTGTTATTCAGGTTTGCTCTATAATTAGTGGTTGTTAATGAGGTTTCTGAATGCCCTTTTGATATTTGCTAAAATCATGCTTTGTGAACTTATGTACATCATTTCACCAAACTGATTAGTATTTAAAATGAAGGTAAGATTTTCTGAATGTTCATATCAAGAGTAGCTCTGCTGTTATCGTTCAATGATTTTTTTTTTATAAGTCAAGAAATGTTATCTCGGTTGATTCAAATATGCCAAATAACATATTTTTACAATTGTTTGACAAGTGATCTATAGGGAATTCACTTAATTTATTTTTTCAATAGATGCCCACATTCCCTAATCTCTGTGAACGATACTTGTGCTAGGATCTGCTGGATCTATTGAGCTAAACTGTTGAAACTAAATTTTATATGAGATTTAAAAAGCAGTTTTTATAGCGGAAAGGAATTTAGTACTAAGGATTGAATCTTAATTGAAAATACGCTTTGATTTCCAGCACTCTATTTCTCCTGAGATCGGGATCCATGGCATACCTGTGGACAATTACTCTCGTACAGGGAGTGGAGATGTGAATCTTTGCCGCTTTTCTGCTGGTGTCGATCTGAGTGAGCCTGCAAGTTCCAACTGGAGTAGCAAAACCAGTATAAAGTTTGAGGTATGTGTTGCATAAATTCATAATCAATGCACAGTATTATATGTAGGGTTGGTCAATGATACTTCTTTTCATTAAATCAACTGAGAACAAATCAATGCAGCATGTTCGTCCAATTAATGATGATGGGCGTTCAATAAGCAGAGACCTTCATGGATTTCCCGTGACTTGCAGGTAGCTGAAGCTGCTATTTATCCTGTTTCCATTTGATTGATAGGCTGACTGATGACTTTTTGCACTTGCATTTGTCTTCCAGTGGAAGTTGTCATGATAGTATGGTAGTACTTAAACAAGAATCTCGATTTGCCAAGGCAAATGACCATAGTTTCACTCGGGTAATAGATCTCTGTTCACCAAACTGAAGTAATTCAATTTCACCAATTTGTTTTAACTTTCAAAGTGCAGAATATAACAAGTATTTCTTTTTGTGAACTCCGACCTTGAATATAGTTTAGTCTGAAAATCGAACAAGGGATACCAATTCTTTCAAAGTGGCTGATCTTCAACCGACTCAACTTTGTTGCATCAAAGGGAATAAGACTTGGACCAGCATTTTTCTTATCAAGGTGAGCAATGTTTTTCCCTTTTGTAGAGTACCAACCGAAAAATTTGAAAATGATGAGTTATCAAGCACCTGGGTGGTGCAAACCATGTAAAGAGAGAATTAAAGGAAGTTAAGAATGGAGTACCCAATAAGCAGCAGCGGAGGATCTTAGTATTGAAAGATTGGGCCAAATCCTCCTCCCACCCTCTCCCCCTTAAAGGTTGGGCCAATTTTATTTTTTTTTCATTCATAAAAATAGCCTTTTCTACTTTGTAAGATTGCTCAAAAGAAAAATTAGCCCCACTGCAAAAGTCATTGTTCAGCCCCAACTCTAATTGTTAGCCCACCCCAAAATACAGATCTAGTTCTTCTCCTGCCAATAAGTACCAGAAACCTTATGAAGAGGAAGTAAAAAAAGCTTAAAAGTTTCTGTGATCTGAAACCTGTAACAGTACAAGAACATGTGAGAATTTTCAGTCAATCTTTCGTAAGATATATAGGAGTTCAGAGCTGTTCTATGTCTAATGCGCATGCATATTTATTTTATTTACAGTAGAGAAGACGCTTCCTCATTTTTTTTATTTATTTAAATTAGAAAAGATGTCAAATTTTCCTCACTGAATGGGATTTCCAATCCACTATGCAAACGAAATAAGGCCTTCATGGCTCGTGTTATCTATGATTCTTGGACCCGGGGTATGGGTATTGGGTACGGGTGCATATCTAAGTGTCTGATCTTTTATATTTTAGGATGCGAAGGCATGGCTAAAAAGAGTCTAAATTTTAGATACGGATACGTGAGTACGTTTTTCAAACTTCAATTTTTTTACTAACTCAAAATATTATTTTGAATAGACCAAAATCAATTGTTCATAAAGAAGGAAATATTATTATATAAAGGGTTAAAACAAATAAAATAGAAATTTAGGATTTAGTTTTCAATTATTCGAAGTTAATTACTAAATGTTATATAAAATAGAAAATGAAGTACTTGATTTCAATTTGGATTTAGTGGAGCACTAAGTAGTATTATATGGAACTCATTTCCATTTTATACAAAAAAAAAAAGGGGAAAAAAAATCTAAACCACGAATATAGAAAGGGAAAGAAGGAAAAAATAAAAAAAGAAAAGGGAAAGAAAAAAGAAAGAAGAAGGGAAAATCTAGCGCCGTCGCCTTTCTTCTCCCTCTGGGAGGTGGCGCTAGGTTTATAAAGAATAGAAATGGAAAGAAAAAGAAAGAAGAAACAAAAAAGGGCAAAGTATTCGGTTGAAATTTGGAGGATTCGACACATATCACACATGCCCATGTCGTGTCGTGTCCGACATCGGTACTCTAACCATTTCGAAGAGTCGGAGCATCAGAGTGTGTTATCTCTAACAGATAAATGTGTTTCCTACTTCTTTACTATCTATACAATCTTTTTATATTGTTCTATTTAGATTTTCACGTTGTCATCTGGCAGCCTTACAGGTGGCTCTATCGTTGGGGACATTGCTCCTTATCAAGCCTTTTCAATTGGTGGGCCTGGTAGTGTGCGAGGGTATGGTGAAGGTGCTGTTGGATCTGGTAGATCATGTCTAGTTGCTAATAGCGAACTGACATTACCTCTGGTATGTAGTGGTTCATAATCTTATGTAGCTGGCATCATGTCTAGTTGCTAATAGCGAACTGACATTACCTCTGGTATGTAGTGGTTCATAATCTTATGTAGCTGGCCCCAAGTTTACTTTGATAAGTTTTAGCTTGTCGGGATGATTTTTTGCTGCTTCTGCTTGTAGAAGAGCTTCCTGAAAAATGGGGGCCCTTAGAATGTCAACTTGAAATGCTGTGCTTATAGACATTAGCAAGTCTTCTTGCAAATTGATTTGATCAAACTGATCCAAAACAATAAAGAGAAACACAAGAGGGAGGAGAAAAGAATTTTGGAAGAGGAAAAAATTAAATGTCTCATGATATAAAATCATACTCCTATTTTTGCTTACAATATCTAGTGAAAATTAGTTATTATCAAAGAAACAATGGAAATTTTCCTAATTTCAACCGATCAATGATGAAAAGGAAATAAATCTAATTCTAAAATGGTTCAGTCAAAATAAATCCTACTCTAGATCTTATTTCCCTTTCCTAATAGAAGTGTGTATTTTTGGCATGTTTCCAATGTTTCTTTTGACCACATACTCCATCACAAATGCTTGGAACTCTCAGAACTCTTTTTGAATGATCTATGTGCTATTTATTAATTTTAAGCAATCTATAACATATTTGTGATGAATGGAACACAGCTATCGAAGAAGCCTTCTTGCTGGCCTTGCTCATAAATTAGAATATATTACTGCTATTAAACATATATGTGCCTGAATTGTCAGCAAAAATAATGGTGTTGTGGAGGCAATTCCACCGCCATCAAACGATTTTATAATCAAGAGCCAAATTTAAAGGACTGTAGCTTTCAAAGCTGTATATAAAAAGAAAAGGGGAAGCCATTAATCTATTCTTTAATGTAGGTTCTCTAGGTGACAGTCTTTTTAAACAAGGAAATGCAGAGAAAGTGAATAAAACAATAACTCAGTCTGATTTCCGAGAGCACCATGCTGAACAATATTTCAATTCGACTCTGAAATTTGGTTACAGCAAAGAGGCCTATTTAAAGCTGCTAGAAAGCCCTAAAGACTTCAGAATATTGTCTAGAACATGGCCTACTCTATAGTGGAACTAGGGCACCAATTACATCAGGACAGAAACATATAAGTGATTTATTTTGCTAAAAGAAAGAACTCCTAACTAACTATGGAAACAAAGCTTTGAAGCATGAAATGAACAAGCAGACATTTAACTTTTCTAGAAAGTAGAACATGGACATGCATATCGATTAAAATTCTCTGAAGTTACACATATGTACATTAGATTTTTATTTTTTTACTTTTATTTTTTATTTTTTCACTAAAATAATGCTTTTTCTTTGCTTTGATTTTAAATTGTGAAGAAAATCCTTTTTGTAGTAGGAAAACCTTATGCTGTACTATTTATTAATCGTGTTAATGAAAGAAAAAAAATGCTTACATTAGATAAAAAACAAATTGAAGTTCTTAGAGGGATTTGGACAATTTGAATAGTGAACTGGCATGCTGAAAATAACAATAAATGAGAAGCAACATGGCCATACATCAACTATACTTCCCTTGGAGCACAACTTGAGCAGAAAAGATACTTGTAAATCATCTAAAGTTGGAAATTGTCTTTTAAGATAAAACTATATTTCAGCAAGAAATTGTAACTGCAAGAATAAGTGCTAATTATCCTAAACTCATTCTAATTATTCGCGTTTAAATTTATCTTCCAGTTGTTCTCTCTTGATGTGTGTGTGCATGCATCCCTTTTATGCTGTATTTTTCCCTATCTCTTTTGTTCATACCCCGAGAGGGATGATATTTACCACCGGTTACAGTCTAATAATTTGATGACCATAGTCTTCTTCATATTTCATTCGTGCAATTGCTGAGTCTTGTTGTTACTGATCATTCTTTCCAGAATCAGATGCTGGATGGTGCTGTTTTCTTGGACTGTGGATCTGATTTAGGCTCTGGTCGCCTTGTGCCTGGTCAGTTTTGACTTGCAGCAATTTCCTAGTATTTGATCATAAAAGCAGTTCAATTTTGCAATTAAAAGAAGAAATTTTGAACCATATCTTGATTTTTGCGGTTTCAAAGTGAGTTGTGAGAACTTCTTGATGAACGAAATAGGATTGAAAGTTTGAGATTAAATTGTTATTATTATAATCATCATTTTTATTAATCTTAAGACACAATGTCATTGTTTGAACATTTGCTGAAATTGTTTATGTTGAGTAAATCTGAAAGCACCTTCCCAAGTAATTTGCTTTATGGAGGTCCAATTAATAGACTGCAGCTCATCATTCTGAGAATGACTACCCTGTTACTTTTGAGAACTTGCGTAAGGATTGAACTTGTCTTTTGTTTTGATGAAACGCTGTCTTTATATAGGATTGCTTGTTCCATGTTGTCCATAAGCTGTGTCCATCAGCATGGGAACTGTTAGGTGTGTACGATTGAATATGAGATGTGAGTGCTTGGAAATGCAAATCGTAACTTGGAATGAGCAAAAATTGGCTAGATTGCTAATTTAGTTTAAAAACTGGCACACTATGTTTTCATTCTGGGTTCTTAGACGTTTTCAGGCTATACTTTTGTGTTATAGGCATTCCTACATATTTCCATGGTGTTTGTTACGTTCATCTCTTGTGCAAATAATTTTATGTGTTTCTGTGTATACATAGGTTGCCTTGAGGGTGTGCGAGTTGAGCGATTGAATAGGGCCTCAGTATTGTAGGGGAACCAAAAAAAATATATAGGTGTGTATATATGTATAATTATATATTTAAAATATTTTATCAATTTTAAATCTTTATTATTATGTCAGGTTAAGGGGTACAATATTGATGAAAATAGAGTAAAAAAAATTTATATTATGTTAATATTTTTTAAATTTAACATATTATTGAAAAAAAAAATTACTTTTTCTAATTTTAAACTATTTTGCTTTAAAAAAAAAAAATTATATATATATATATATATTTTTTTTTTTTTTTTTTTGAACTGTCTATTTTACCAACTCAATCTCAAATGCTAAATTAGCTTCATAAGTGAAAAGCAACCTCATATTCCTTTTCGTCATTTCTCTTTCTCTCACCATTTAACCTTCAAAGAACAGTCAAATAGAGAGGAGAAAAACTATACTGTCAATTTTTATTTAGTTGCTCTGTAATAGTACAATCTACATTGTAACATTGCCATTTTATCGGTGCCAAATATCCACTTGTTAATTGTCATTTCATGATTTATTTTTTGTTTTAGAAGGGTAAGTTTTTGTTGGACTATAACTGATAAGTCATTACATTCAATCCCCCCTCGAGTTTTGCCTTTTGGATGAGTTAGACAAATAGATAGATTATAACTCTTATTTAACATTATTGTATTTCTTATTCCTAATTCTTCTACATTTTCATTTGATAGGTAGTACACATGTTTGATGTCTATTGAACAAGATTTGTTAGAACATATTGATTATGAAAGTTTAATTAGTGAGTTTTTTTTCTAGAAATACGAGAATAAATGCTTTTACATGATTTGTTGCATTTCAAGTTTTACATGTGATAGTTGTTGCTTTTGATATCAAAGTTTACGCATATAGAATTGCACGAAGAGATTGGTAACTTGAATGGTTTTTTGTTGATGACATGAATTTTGATGAAGTTTGGGAGGTGCTTTTGAGCTTTACTTGTACTTTTCTTATTCACAACGTTTATAAAAAACAAATATTTAAATGTCATATTTTTACAAGGAGATAATATTATTGGAATATAATTTTTTTCTTAATATATTTTTTAATTACATGAAAGGAGCACCATTTTAGAATGTTATCGGGCACCCAAAATCTCAGGGCCGGCCCTGTGTGTATATTTTGATTACTAAGTTGTTGCTAACAATTTTATGTGAAAATCCATATTTTTGTATCCAAAATGAGCACTCAGTTCCACCTTCCCATGAAGCAACAATTCGTGTAGTCTAGAAAATCAAGGTGAATAGGGTAAAAGAGTCGCTATGCGTTTGGTCAGCATTTCTGTACACAATTTTGTGGATTTGTGTTGTACGCCTTTATCTTAGGAACTTCTCTACTAACTTCCGGTGATTAAATGCCAATCTTGTCTACTTCTCAGGAAATCCTGCTCTTAGGCATGGTAAACCTGGATCTGGAATTGGTTTCGGATATGGACTTCGGTTCAAGTCACGATTAGGGCACTTTCAGGTCGACTATGCTGTCAATGCATTTCAGCAGAGAACTCTCTACTTCGGCTTCAGTAACCTTGCCTCGGGATAGTTTCAGTAACCAAATCATTCACTTTTCACCCGTGTGGTCTTGGATTGGATCTTGGTTTCGTACAGTTTAGACTGTCCCTAAGTTGGAAGATAGATACCAATCTTATTACTGGAAACGAGTGCAGATTTTCTCGAGAGGCACATTCGACTAGCAGGTATAAAGAGAGTTTTTTTTTTCTTGGCTTACTGTGGGGAACCAGAAGTGAAATTTTATCCTTGTCCCACTAACAAAGTTCAGATTATGTGATTTTCCGTCTTGAACACTTCCTTGTAACCATTTTCTTTCTTGTACACATTGATTTATTTAGGAAATTGAACAACTTGACATTTAGTGGGAAATATAATTTTATTGGTGAAATGGAGAACTTGATTGATTTGATGTAGGATTCAATCATTAAGAAAATTGGATGTTGTATGGTTTTCAAAATTCTTTACAGTAAGATATTGCATATTTCTTGTCGTCCCGTTAGTTCTTGTTGTAACTACAGGAGAATCACGATCAGATAGCATTCCTCCCATTTTCGACTGATCCTTTGGTCGCTGGCTTTGAAGTGAGTAAATATAACAATAAATTGGACAGAATAGCGAAAAGGAATTTGCATTTACTATTTGAAAATAATATTTTCACACATATGTATAGCCTCAAGTATTGGTCTCCTTGTCCTAGAATTAATCAAATGAAATGGTTAGAATTGACAGAAGATTGGTTAGAAAAAAAAATAAAAAAATTATGCCCTTGTTTGAGCTCCATTCTTTTGAAAAAATGTATTTTTTAACAGTATTTTAACATCATTTTAACCACACATTTTTCAATAAAATAATATTACATGTAAATCCAAAATTTTTTCTTATTTTTTAACCACACATTTTCCATTAATAAACTATTCAAAAATTCATTCTTTCTCAAAAAATGGAGTTCAAACAAGGGTTATGTTTGTCCTTTTAAGAAAATTTATTAATGTATTTAACCAATCATAATCCCAAATACGTATTGATTCGTGATAATCTCTCAATTAGTCATAGATGATCGAAGCTGACAAAAATATGAATTTATATCCGGGTGGGAACCTGTGATCCAACAAGGGCACATCCTGCGGTTTACCTCCGCTAGTCACTGAGGGATCGGTGGCTAGAAATCCAGGATTTAGTCTGGCGAAGCTGGGTCACCTGGGTATAAAAAAAAAAAATGAATTTATATCTGATTATTCAGTTATATAATCTCCAAATTGGTCAGAATTTGGTGGATTGTCCATCAAACGCTGAGGTGAGCCCACTAACTTTTAAAAAAAAAATAATAATATTTTTTTCATTTATATTGACATCATAGTGGTACCTAAATTCATATGAATTTGTTTGTGGATCCTTAAATATGTCAACTTTTTCCCCCCAAAAAAGAGGTACATAATTATATGGTACCCTGCGTCCATCTACCACAGTTTTATTTTTATTATATTTGAGTATATTTGAGGTGAACTGTCTTAAAATTTTTAGAACTTATGTGCCACCATTCTCATAAGAATAGAGAACTCATCAATATATCGTGCGGTATTTTTGTAAGCATTAGTAATTTCTATGTTTAATCATGTATAAGGAGAGGTCGAAATTTTCCTGCATCTTAAAGATCGTATTTTTTTGGGTTGGTAGTAATGTCATGAAAAACTCGCTGATAGCTATATTCACTATAATATCAAATCAATTAAATTCTTAACAACTGTCATATTAGTTTTATTATATCCTTCGTTGTTCCAACAAGTTGTATTGAGATCGATTCTAGTTCAAAATGTTTGTAATGTTCACTATTACTTGGTATTAACTACAGATAGTAATTTACATTTATCACTCCACCAAACCTTCAAGAAACATATATTATAATTTATTGAAATTGAATAGGTAGCCAAGTCAAAAGATTGAGACGTGTTATCTTATTTTTGTGGTTGGAATTGCATATCAAATGTATGTATGGACACTTGGGTGGAATGAAATATATATATAATATTTAAGAAATTACTATAAAAAAAATATTTCTTAAATTTGACGAGTAATCTATTGTTATTAATATTATGTTTTTAAACAAAAAAAGAAAAAAAAAAAAAAAAAAGGAAGTCTACATAATTGGTTTTGATACTGTTTCGTCCCTTGGTACATCGTCTTCTTGTCATTTGAAACCAAAGACATAGGACAATTATATTGCTTATCAGATGAACAAATTTATATTTGTTCTAGTATAACGTGAGCAATGCTACAGAGACGGAATAAAAAACAGGGTAAAAAATAAGTTGGACACGTGTCAATGCATGATTGGAAAGTTTGAAAAATAAAAATAAAAAAGCAGCCAACAAGCTGCTGACACTTCAATCTGTTCTTTTTCCCCTGTTTTTCTCCGTCTGTTTATCATTCTTCATATAAAGTACTAGCTAATAAAAGAAATTGTTAATTTGTCAACAAATGATAAAACATGTTCTTCGGTACAATGCAATTATCATTATTTTCTGAATATATTATTAAACTAATTTTTTCTTGTATATAATGTATGAAGAAATAAGAGAACTATATAAATAAAGAAGATTTCATAGCCACACCGACACTAGATTACAAACAAACAAAAGCATTTTCAGTATGAAGGCAGAGGTAGGACCAAGACCAATTGGACCTTTCAAAATAATGTCCATCCAATGGCCACCACTCGCTCGAGTACCTTCTCTAATAATTTCAACCTAATCTCTAAAAATTCAAATCAATATTTTATAAAACTTCTAAGGGAATTAGGTAACCAAGATCGAATCATAAAATTCCAAGTTCTTATACACGTTTTGTGTTATGCAGTCAATTCAAATTTTCGACATTTATTAAACAAGGTTGGTTAGCTCACTAACTCCTGAACTTAGGAATATCCGAGTTCAGAAATCTCAAGCCTAGACTAAAATAAGTAAAATTTCCATAAAACTTGAAAAGCATATTAAGGGCACACGAAAAGTTTTAACCTTTAGTACCGACGGAATCTTGATTTCCCACTTAAATCTTGATAAACAATGTCTTCCCCTAATTTCAAGCATTGTTCATACTTTTAAGATGCTTAAATTTCAAAAAGCAAGTTGGCCAAAACACTTTTTAAGAAATAAGTATACCATTGTCCAAATATAGGGAATGTTCAACTAAAAAAGTAGATTGATACCCTTCGTTCAATTTAATTGTCTTCTATTTCGAGGAAGAATAGACCTGATTAATCTATGTCCTCCGCACAAAAGCAATAGGGCGAGGAATTTATTCACTCGCTTTATGCTAAGCCAACAATCATTCTTTTAACATTACATGAACATCCATCCAATCTACACATATTGTACAAGACAAACGATGGAAAGGGAAGATAAACAATCCCTTTATAGAAATACCGATCTTTTTTCTTTTTTCTTTTTTTTTTCTCTGGCGGAATCCAATTCGAACCACCATTAGAAACTTTACATCACCAAATTACACCTCAACTTACTATTGACTACTTGATTTTGATAGCTTTTTTCCGTTGCTTGAGTTGGACTCCTTTGGGTTAACTTAGGATGAGGGCACTTATTTTAACAGCCTCTCGAAAACCCTAATTCCGCATGGTACTCCAACATTGTTCCATTGTAAAGGCTCAATTTTTGCCTGGCATTTTCTTCTTCTGCATAAACAATGGCATTCATCATGTTAGATGAAACATCAAAATCCAACTTCGAATATGATGGATTAATTAATTTAGTGACTGAACTTCCAACTTTAAAAAATTTGGTAAGAGTGTCCCAAACTCAACAAATTTCACGCTGTATCTGAAAAAGTAAATTCATTTCCAGGAAAACCGTTTTGAACCTTTAAAGTTCAAGAATTGAAATTCGAACTCCAACCAACATCATAACCCCCATCCCAAGCATCATACACACAATTGGCGCGAAAGGAAGTTTCATTGAATCACGCCTAATATTGCACTAAGTGCATCAACTCTCTAGCCAACCAACATTAACGTTTTCACCATCACATAACCAGAGTCGCTTATGCATAACATCTGAATAAGAACATTGGTTTGAAGAACAATAGGGAAGTGAAAGTGCAAAGTGGGTAGTTTAGTTAGTGAAGTCTATCGATTCATATGACCAAATAGGCACCAGAGTTAACAAGTTACATCCTGTGGTTCACACGAACAATTGAAATTATCACTTCAGGCAAATTTCATCAGCAAATATCTCAATGCTAGACTTTCAACACCCTCATCAAAACAATCTCGTTGAAAATGATCACAATTTTTAGCTACTCCAAATTTCTGAATCATACTATGGTAACTTAAAACAACAGAGAATAAAAAGAGAGTATACGGCATAACTAATTACCTGAGGCAAAAATCAGTCCTTGAAAATAACTGAATCGGCAATGTCCATCAAGGGGGCCAAGCAATCTGGAGAAAATTTCCTCGCAAACATGTGGGAATAACTCGAGTTGGATTCCCTGAGCCTGTAGATCAGCTCAGGGGACAATTCAGGAGGGTGATAAGTGTGTGGATGCCCATTCACACTGCCAGTCCAATTCACCCTTGTCAATGTGTAATGTGTGCATCCCCTCGGATCCTGCATTGACAAAAGTGTAGGAAAATAATGCTCCTCTGGATAACAAGATTCAACATTTAGACAAGGCAACTTGAATTTCCTCCATAATCGCCTATCTTTGATCACCATCAGAGCGTGTTTTCGAGTTAATGTAAAAAACTGAGAACCCACTCGGAATTGATCAAAATCCACTTCTGGGAGCATTACATTTTCACCCCTGGCATTATACCTGTCCCATAGAGTCGGCTCATCCGATAAGATCTCAATGTAACTAGGAAACTCCAAGTCTCCCGACAATTTTCTCAGATCAAATAGAAAATTATACAGATAGTTAAAGGAATGAAGCGGAATACAATTCTGTGATATCATCGCAAAGTACGCGTTAGCAGGATCATCAAGCATTGCAGTGGCGAGGAGGCGACGTGCGGCCGAAATCAGAGTAGGCGAAGATCTCTGAGTCCTTTTCGAGGGTATAATCTTATCCTTAAACACCCCATCTGGAGGGGTAATTTTCACCGAAGGATCAGCGTGGATGTAAATATTATAAAGATGCTCGTGTGGGTTGTTACTAACGCTTACATTCGCAAAAAAGCGCTCCCACAGCGGTGCAAAGTAAAGGTCCGAATTAGTGAGGAACAGGAAGGCGATTTTGGGGCGGTGGAAGGCGGAGCCGAGGCGGGATCTGGTGGAAGGAAGTCTATTATGGTGTTTACGTGACAAATTGGCTGAATCCATGGCTATGGCTTTCTGGAATAGTGAAAGGTCATCGAGTTCATCGGGTACAGAAATTGAGATTCGGCGCGGCGGGAGGATTTTTGGGGCAAAAAAGAAGAATAAAATCGTTAAAGAAAGGAGGAGGATTAGGGTTGGGATTAGTGGGGACGATGTTGAACAAGCCATGGCTATGAATGAATTTATTGTTCACTTTTTGTTCAAAACTGAAAATTTAGAACATCAGACTGTAACTGAAACAAGAATTTTGGAGTGCATGGGTCTAAAAAGAGGGAAAACAGAACTGGGTTTTCATATCTGGTGGCGGCGATGGACGGAGGAGGAAGAGGAGGTGGTGGGTAGGGGTTGGTGATTGGTGTATTTTGTGCTTTGGGATTGTTGCAATGGCAGTGAAGAGAAGGCAAAGGGAGATTTTGGAGGGGCCGGGGGAATGGGTTGGGTGGATTGGAGTGGGTGAATGAGACGGGAGAGTACATAGAGGAATTGGGAAACAGGGTGGAGGGTGCGGTACTGGAAGTCAGATCTAACGGGGAAAGATGTGGCGTTAATTCGACCTTTCTTTACTTAAACTCTGTTTAATTAATTTATTTTATTTTATGTTTTTTGGGTTTCTTCTACTCTAAAATCAAAATTTTAATATAACTAAATGATCTAACAAAATAATATATGAATAATAATTCATAAATGAATAATAATTATGATTTCCTGTTTGGTGGATATTAAAATTAAAATTTTAACAATTTTTTATAAAAATTGATAAAACGTGTAATTGAATAAATTATAGATTCCATAAAATATGTGATTAAAATACATTATTTAATTTAATTTAGATTAAAATTTTAATTTTAATTTTTATCAAAATGAGTCTAAATATGTAACTGAAATTAAATCTTGACTTTTAATTAATATTACGGGTTACTAATAATTTTAGCTAAAAAGAGGTATAATAAGTATTTGAACTTGGATATGCAAAAGAGAAATTTTCATATATAAGAGATTAAGTACATATTTAACAGCAATTAATTGGAAAATTTTTTGAACTTACGTATTATATTATATGAATTGATTCCAAGAATTATCTGTCACCGCCACGATCACCACCAAAATTACCACCACCACACCAACACCCCTACCGCCAACCCCAACACCAACTATAAACACCCCCCACCAATTGCAAACCACCACCAATTACCCCAAAAATTTCGAAACTCAAAAACTCTAGATTTTCCCCAAATAGCACAATGATGATTGCAACCACACTCACACCACGAGAATTGCTACCCAAAATTGGTACCACCATCATCACTAGTACCGCTAACATTGCCACCATCTCATCAGCACCATTACCTACAAATACTACCAACAAAATCCACCCCAAAATCACTCCTCTACCACCACAAAATCAAATCCAAAATAACTGCACAACTATTGTAAAAATAGATCCGATCGACGATGATTACTGTGTGCATCATCGCCACACAATGCGCAACAATGACGACATCATCATGGTGTAGCGCTTGTGGATAAATGGAGGGGGAGTGAGAATTGAGTGAATTTTGATTTGGGGGGGATGGTTGGGGGTGAATATATTAATTTAATTCTACAATAATAATATTATTATTGAATAATCATTTGATTTTTATATAAAATAAACTTTAAATATAATTTTTGAAATGATAACTCAAAATATATGGTTCTATGTAATTTTCACTATGCAAAAAGTGAGTACAAAATGAAGTGATAAAAAGAAAACTATCAGAACGCATATTTCCCAATTCTAGAACTTCCAAGTTCTCCACTCTTGACTTGTGAATGATGGAAGAAAGGATCGACCAGGAATTCCAACTACAAGGAAACTGAATGAAGACCGGCAGAATGCACAGTTCAACCGTTAAGTTCAATAATTTTCCTTTACAATAATCAATCTATCTCTACCATTCTTATTTCCGCGAGAACAAGCCAGTCTCTTAACTCAGCCACGGTGCAAGAGATATTCTGAACTGACATAATGATACCGCATCTCCTCACGGTACGCACCCTATATGTCCAGAATAAAAAGGCAGTTGCTGAATATGATAATAGGATCTTTCGTGCGATTATCTAAAAGCTAATGATCAACCCGTGGACTTGATTTTGAAGTCTTTACACATCTCCATTCGATTTGGATTTAACCATGACAGGATTATGAGCAGAAGGTGAACTTTTGATGGCAGTTCTACTCTGTTTCCTGGTTGATTGAATCCCGCGTCCTATACCTGATGAAATAAATTGTAGGAAAGAAAATACGCCCAAAGAATGGTAGTTAGAAAGACATCAATTCATAAATAGATCCCAGTTTTTATTAGATTCGTTGATAATCATGGACTCTTGCAATAACGGAGACTTTACACGACTTTTCATCAGTTGAAAGAGAGACTGATCATTGCTAGGAAGAGACAACCGCTAATTTCCTAGTTTATCTGAAGAATTGGATCTTTCTTAAGGATTTCTTTGGGAACTTGAATCAACATTGGGCCTTGAGGTAACTTCCTCGGCCAAGTCTTCAAGAGCTGGTTTAGACATTAGTGGAACCGGTGTTTCTTGCATGTTTGCTGACTTATTTGGTGAAGTACCACAACCATCAGAATGACAGAGAGGCCTTATTTCATTTGAGATCTTTGAGTTAATGCTTGAATGAGACGGACCGATTTTATCATTTGCAAGATTTGATGAATGTTTCTTCTTGGTAGACTTTAACTGAGTCTGTGTTCCGTTCTTTGAGGTAGACGATCCATTTTCAGGAGTCTTCACTCCATCCGTTAAATTAGTGTCTAAAAACGTGTTTTCCCATGGACTAAGGAGCCATCCATCTCTCCAACCTATTCCATCCCCAACTGCTCTTATCTGGTTCAAAACCAGGAGTTGCTTGCTGTCTTGAACCTGCCTGCCACTGAAATGTAGGAATTTTTAGGGGCATGGCGAATAATTCTACTAATCCCCCAAATATATTAAAACAAACTAGGAGGAAATTTTATCAAAGAAAGAAATGCCAGCCACTGTACTCAGCTGAAATTCAATTTCATTTTTAAATTTAAAAAATCGAAAGACCGCAAAATGACGACAATTGTCTTCACTTTCTTCAGCAGAGTCAACCAGACTCTATTTGGGACAGAGAAGAAACAGGAAAGCCCATAAGAAAGAGAGATGGGACGGATTTCACAAAGAATTCAATAACAAGAACTACGGCAAGAGTGAAAGTTTTTGTTCTCTAATTCTCAGATCTCCTAGTGTTTTGCCTCAAACCTGAATACTACACCTTTGAAATGGCAAAAGAAAGAATTCTGTTCCCCTTTTTCAATTTTTATCTCTGAACCCTAAAATATATGCAATTATATCAACTTGCCAAACAGAAATCACCCATTACCAATTCTGAATATATCATTTGGCAGCCAGCCTGCCACATTGGATATAGTACTAGCATCCTAAAAATTATACACAAACCATCAAAAGCATAACTGTTATTGATGGTTTATTGCCCCTCAGGGCATAACCCAGTGGTGCAAAGGACAGTAGTAAGGTAGTTTCAGCCTTATTGACAATCGCAGTGTGAGAGTTCGATTCCTAGAATATGGAATTGGACTCTTTGTGGGCACCTGTACAGCCAAGCTCTTATTCTCTGACTTATTGGGGGCACATCACGCGATTTACTTCCCTCACGATGCTACAGGGACGGGGCGGTGGAGGGCTCTCAAAGTTGGGATTGAACCTTTTATTTTATTATTATTAATGGTTTATTCCCTTTTAAGTTACGCATAGGAGCAATAGGACATCTGCATAACATACTTAGGCAAAGCTATTCAGAGATGCACAAACATTAGAAGCAAATTCATCGTTATTCAATTTTCTAGTAAATACCTCTCGTGCAGTACTTGCATAGTTCGTGGAATTCCCAGAATGTGAAATTACTTGAGGACAAAAGAATATTTACCTGGTGAATCATAGCATATGCCATTGCTCTTTCACGCTTAGCTGCTGCCTCCTGTTGCTTCAACAACCTGGCTTGAATTTCTTCAACAGACCCAACACCGTCACACCACCCTTCCTGGGTTACGAATCCAAAAATCAAAGGCAATGCGTACCACTAGACAAGAATAAATTAAATAACATCCCCTTCTCGCTGGGTTTACGAGTACACATAATTGTCTTAAAATGCTAATAATACACATCAATCTTCCTATGGTTACAACATTTAAGACCTCTCAATGGAGACTGATACTACCAAAAATCGTACCTGTAGATTTCCTGAGCTTGATAACCAATGAGGAGCACGAACGTGATCTTCCGGTACTTGAAACAAAGGCAACGAGGTGTGTTCTCATCGCCCCTTCGACGTTGAATAATGGCCCAAGATTCTGCTTTTATACGGGTAGGTAGTGTACTCCTAGTAGGATTGTGCTGGTTGGATGTTTTTATCCAAGGAAATTTCTATTTATAAAGAGTGCCTTACTTGTAATGGAATTGTTTGACAAGTGGTATAAGGGTTGATACAGAATCCTTAGGTGTTTAGGTTTGTTTGTTAGATACCTAGGTCTTAGGAGGTATGTTGGTGGTATATGTCTCGAGGACTATCCTCGAGGACTTGAGAGGATGTTAATATGTCCTCGAGGTATCTCGAGGACAAAAATACCTCGAGGTCTTAGGGAGACCCCGAGGACCATAGCAGAGAGATGAGATGGGGTATATATGGAGTCCTCGGGATGTATTCCTCGGGGTGTATCAATATTGGCATCGTCACTGGCCCCCGTGCACTCCTCCTAGAGATTGAGCTCTTAGGATGGGGTGCACATGAGTTATGTCATTTCTCGAATCGTCATCGAGAAGTGATGGCTGATGATAGAGGTCGAGATATGACCGTTGCAGAGAATGGCTTGGATTTGTGACACATGTCTTCGTGGACGGTCGTAGATAGCGACCTTTGGCCTCCCATCGTTTCACCTATAAATACCTACTGTTCTCACCTTTATTTTTCACTTTTACCCACTGTAAATCTAAGTTCTGCGAGGTCGTGCTCGAGAGTAACACTTTGGAAACTTCTCAAGTCATCGGGAACTCCATGTAAGGCTCGAGACTTTAAGTTATTAATAAGCTAGGTCTTAAGTTTGCTAAGTGATGTCGAGTAGTGAGGGTCGAGATTCTTCTAATAGTTCTAGTAGTAGTGAGGACGTAGGGACCTCGATAATACCAACAGCTATTTCCCTAGAGGCTACTCCCGAGGCTCAGGTTAATATGGTTTTTGAGTATCCAGACGAACCCTGCAGGCTTAAAGAGCACTCAGCCATAGTTGCAGCTAGGGAATACGGTATAATGCCTAATTGCGATGTTAGATTTCCTGGCCCCGAGGATAGGATTGTTCGAGCACGACGAGGGGAGTTTGTTATTTTTAGGGAGACCCTTAAGGCTGGCTTTAGGTAGCCCCTTCACCCCTTCTTCATTGCTCTATTAATCGAGCACTCCA